ATGATAAACTATGCTTGTATAGATTCGATTAAATCATATATATATATATGTAGTTGCGGTTCGATGATTTTTTAGAAAAAAAAAGAAAAGATGTTAATCAAAGATAAATCTAATCTATTTATTTTAATCAGGTGCGTTCATTGTCTCAAACATCAACAAATGATCATAATCAAACATTAAAATCAAATTCGGATTCATCAGAATCGCGAAGTCCAAATCAACAGCAACAACAACAATTCTTATCTATTCAACAAACTAATAATTATATGCCATCATCATCATCAACAATTCAATATTCTCATCAATCAATTGATGAAACAGATAAAAGTAGTGAAAATTTTGAAAGTTCAATTGAAGGTGATTATTATGAAGAAAATGATGATAATAATAAACGTCGTCAAAAAAAGCGAGGCATTTTCCCTAAAGCCGCTACATCATTAATGCGTGCATGGTTATTTCAGCATTTAAATGTAAGATTTTATTTTGATAACCAAAAACAAAAAGAAAATAATAAAAGTTTTGTTTGTCCTTTTTTTTTTTTTGTCATTTTTAGCATCCATATCCATCTGAAGAACAAAAAAAAATCTTAGCTCGAGAAACTAATCTTAATATTTTACAAGTTAATAATTGGTACGTTTCATTTTTAATGTTTTACTCGAATAATCTTCAACATTTCCTGCTATGAATCCGAAGTGTCGTAATCGTTTGGGTTAATCAATTCACACCGTTCCGTTCCATCTCATCAATTGTTCGTGACGAACCGTGTTAAAAACAGTTAACGCTGCGGAAATTTTTTTTTTCAATCATGCAGCTGTGCTTGATCTATATACATATATATATATATATATACATATACACAACGGTCATTAGGATTGTTCTTCTTTCACAAGGAGATGATGCTTAGAGTCATTAATCATATTCGTTTTTTTGTTCTTCTATGTTGTAAACATAGTGTTGACAGGTAGAAACGTCTGTTTGACGGATTACGATAAAAGAAAGAAATGCAGCTGTTTTAGTTATTTTCAGTTAAATATCATTTTCCTTGATTTTTGTTTTCCTTTAAGGTTTATTAATGCTCGCAGAAGAATTGTACAACCAATGATTGATCAATCAAATCGAGCTGGTAAGTTTATAAGAAAAGAAAAAAAAGAAATTCTCGTTCAAATTTGGATTAATTGAATTTCTTTGTTTTTTTTTTTTGTTAAAGCGATTACACAAAAAGGTTTGTTTTAATAGAATAAAAAAATGAAGATTTAGCATGATTACGCACAAATATTCTTGTTTAATAATAGATAAAAAATTAAAAAGCATGAATATAGTCTTGAAAAAATTTTCGTTTTGCTTCAGAGTTTGATTATTACTTTTTTGCTCACCAATTTCCAAAAAGAAACGCTAACTTCCTCCCCATCCAAAACTCGGTTAACTTTTGCAAAAGTCTTCTCATTGGCCATTTGAGTCATGGACTCCTCTTCCCTAAAATCCTGGCGACCTGAGGAAATACCTGTATGTGGTATCGCTTATCTTTGTCTGTATTCGTATAGTATCGTACTTAATTATTTAATCTAGTATCAAGAAGAAGAAGGACATCAGTAAAAGGTCATAGTAGTTTATTTAATAATTCATATATATCTAAAAGAAAATTTCTGAATATATGCATGAAAATATATATGATCGAAAATAAATTCAATATGTTTATTTTCTTTTTTTGTATAGTCATCGGATCGGAGTATAATGATTTAATAACTACAAATCCTTATCATACATTTGATCCAACTCGAACACCATATAATTTTCAACCAAGTATATTAAATCGATTTTTTAGTTTTTATGTTTAATTGAATTTTTAAATCTTTTAAAGATCTTTATGATGAAATGACAACAGCATCAGGTTATTGTCCACCATCAATATCTCATTCATCAGGTTATCCATCATGTCCATCGATGCATCCAAGTTCGTTTTTTGCTGCTGCAGCTGCAGCAGCAGCGGTTGCTGCTGTTGGTAATAATACAACATCTATACAACATGGTATATCTCCATCATCTTCATCATCCTATCATGGACAAACAAATGGAGAATAGAAAAAGTACATGTTTTTCTTTTTTCGTGTTCTAGTGTGCATATATGTTTATTATTACTGTTTCATTCTTTTCTTTTTTGGTCGGTTACAATTTTCAAAAAAAAAAAATTATATACTGTGATGAATGAATTTCTTACTTTTTGTTTTTCTTCTAACAGTAATTGATATGCTTGACAACAAAGAAAAATGTTCGCTTTGATATTTCTTTTACGATCGTTTGAATTTCTTGTCATATGACTGTCAATGAGTGTGGTAATATGCGAAGAAAAAAAAATCAATAACAAAGATGTCAAGTAGAAGACGATCTGTATGTAATGTAATAGACAGGTTAAAGAAAAAAGAACGTAAAAGAAAAAACAACGAAGAGGTAAACAGAAAGAAAAAAAAAGCGGCTTTTTTTTTGAAATACACTCTATGTTCCATCATATTAGATGTCCGCAGATGTTTAGAGAAGGTTATGAGATCGCTATTAATATATGAAATGTAATGATAAAAAGAAAAAAAAAATCTATCGAGTGGTTTTTGTTTAGAGCTAGATGTTTTAATAAAAATAACTGAATATTGTTTTTTTTTCCTTGTGTGATCGACATTTAAAGTAATGGCAAAGTTGATCATTGATCAAGCTTTATCACTTATCAATTCTGGTGCACGTGTTTTTGTGCAGGGTAAGTGAATAGAATATTCAAGAAGAAAAATGAAAAAGAATGTTTTTTGGTATTATCAGTGAAATAAATGAAGAGTTTGAAATTCTTTCTGTTATCAATTATTGATTGATTGAGCAAAGAAAAATCATTTCGAATGACTTTTGTTAATATTTATTTGTTTGAATTAAGTTTCCTGTTTTTCTATTGGGTAGATTGATTAATAATAAAAAAAGTATTATAGACAATCATTGAAGTGTAAATCATCATTGTTAATAGAAAATAATCTTATAAATTGATCATATCCTAGATATTTTCTTAGTTTGAACTAAATAAAGGATATCTCGATTAATATAGAGATGAATTCAACTAGTCTCATGAGAGTCTATCAGTTCAATCATTTTATTCAACACACTTTGATATACAACAGATGAGAGATATTATTACTTGATTTTATTTTTGTTTTCTTCTATCATTAGGATGTGGTGGTGTTCCACAATATCTTAATCGTCTTTTAGCTAATCGTGCTGGTGATCTTCGACGTGTTGAAATTATAAGTCTTAATCCTCTTGATGATACATTTACAAATCCTGAATTAAAAGATAGTTTTTTTATGAATAGTCTTTTTGCATCATCTTTTGTTCGTTCATCAATTATTCAAGGTTCTGCATCATATATTCCAATATTTCTTAATGAAATGCCTCGTCTTTTCGATGAACATATTCTTCCTATTGATGTTGCTTTAATTCATGTTTCACCACCAGATAAACATGGTTATTGTTCACTTGGTATTTCAGTTGAAGTAACACGAGCAGCTATACGAAATGCTAAAAAAGTATTTGCACAAATCAATCGAAATATGCCTCGTGTACATGGTGATACATTTGTACATATGCATAATATTGATGCTTATGTTGAATATGATGAACCATTAATTGAATTTAATCATATGAAAGAAATTACTAAAATAGAAACAGCTATTAGTAAAAGAGTTGCTGAATTAATTGAAGATCAAAGTACACGTAAGTATCATAGAATTTCATGAAATAAAATGTCAAGTATCAAACATTAGAAATATATAAATTTTCATGAAGAAAGAATAACACAAGATAATTTTGTATATTTTAATAATGTGTAAAAAAAAATTGTTTATAAAATAATATGGACAATTATCTATAGATTAATAAGAGGAAAGTTTAATTTAATACAAGACCGTTTTAATTATATATATATATATCGAATGTATCAAAAGTTTTACGATATGTGTTATAGTGTTATTTTTCACCAGAAAAAATTGAACAAGTCTATTAGATAAAATGAACTGTTTCAGACGCAGTAAACAATCGAAACATTCATCATTCTACCAATATTTCCTACGAGATCAGTACTGATTTTTCCATAATATATTTTCATTATCTTCAGTTGAAGTCAAGTCAATAGTTAGAGAAGTTTAATTCAACGACTTATGTATCGAACTCACTATTTAAACAAAAAATGTTGCAAAAATTTGGCTACATTCAGCACAAATAAAATAAGAACTATTGTTCGAAAGAATAAATTGACTTTTGTCATAGAATTCATTTCAAAACAGAAAATATAAATATATCTAAACTATATCTTTTTTTTTTATAGTTCAAATAGGTATTGGTCCTATTCCAGATGCTATACTAACAAATCTCAATAATCATAAAGATCTGAGTATAGCAACAGAAATGTTATCAGATAATGTTATACCATTATTAGAAAAAGGTGTTATTACAAATCGATATAAAAAATTTCATCCTGGTAAAACAACATGTACATTTATATTGGGAACAAAAAAATTATATAATTTTGTTGATGATAATCCAAATGTTTTTTCATTAGATGTTTCAGTAACAAATGATCCAGCTCAAATACGTCAAAATTCATGAATGTGTGCAATTAATTCTGCATTAGAAATTGATCTTATTGGACAAATTTGTTCAGATTCATTAGGAACAATACAATATTCAGGTGTTGGTGGACAAATGGATTTTATGCGTGGTGCTGCTTTAAGTAAACATGGAAAACCAATTATTATATTACCATCACAAACATCGAAAGGTGTTTCACGAATTGTTAATACAGTAAGATTCTATTTATTTAATAAAGTGATGAAAAATAATAATGTCATTTTTTATTTTATAGTTGAAAGAAGGTGCTGCTGTAACAGCAACTCGAGCTCATGTTCATTATGTCGTCACGGAATATGGTACAGTTAATTTATTTGGTAAAAATTATCAACAAAGAGCTAAAGCATTAATTGAAATAGCTCATCCAGATCATCGTGAAGAATTAGAACGTGCTGCATATAAACGTTTTAAAGCATTGTATTAAATATGATATGAATATTTGATTAATTATATTTAACATAGAAAAGAAAAAAGATTAATATAATATAATAATCTCATTTTAATAGTCAAGTATAAAAATCAAATTTAATAAAACGTTAAAATTTTTATTCATTTACTTTATTTAAGAATTCTGTATCAGTTAGTTGTGTATTTGAGTATATCATAATTATGAATTAATCATTTCAGAGATAATGAATAATATTTTATTGTTTACTCTTTCTACTGTTGAATTAAGTTATGTTTAATTTAGAAAAATAATTATTATGTTGTTTTATTCTAAGATTAATCTATTTGATTATTGATGTTGATATATTTCTGCTTATAAATTCAAATAGTTTATATCAAAAGACGTTATACATATGTAAATATACAATTACATATGTGCTTTCCAAGTAGGACAATCAATAGTACTGTATATGACATTATTAGATTAGAATTAGAGTTCGTTTGAATAAAACAAAAACATACATTTTACGAATAATTTTACTAATGGTTACCGAATTCTATACATTCAACTAAAATGTGTCTTATTTAGATTGTATGGGATCTGGATTCTTTCATAAACTATTTACTTACTATTCATTCAGCATTATATAGGCAACGGTGTTTTTATGCGTTAGGTATACTTTTTCAAATTTCTTTGTTTTCTAGAGTTTTGTTTTTTTATTATATGATATTTAATAATATATGAAGAGATTCATCGACAAGGTGGTATTACCTTCAAACGGTTTAATAGTGCCTAGATCGAATCAAGATAATTAGATTTCATCATCTCATACTCGAAAAATAGCAATTAACGATGACATTATTACTAAAATGAATCAAACTCAAAAATAGTCGATATACATTTTCTCGTAGAAAAAAAAACAGTTGAAAGTTTGAGGAGTCGATTCAAATCATATATTCAGACGAAGTACTCTTTTAGAAAGACTTTATGTTATACTTGGATATATTGGAAAATGCAACATGTAACATATTTTCGTTGAATATTTTGCGTGTAATTGAAAACTCTAAATTTGTTTTATAATTATAATCCCATCTTTGTATCAGACATAAATAACTGCAGTCAGGAACGATTGAATTCAATTTAATAATTGATTGAAATAAATATCACGAAGACTTTGAGCATTTTAAATGAACTTAAACGAAATGTCTCAAGTGCATAAGTTTATCTCAATAATGAATTAAAATTTCAGGCCAATCTGCAAAAATCATCTCACTTTTGAATTACATGATTTATTTTCAAGTATACTATTTCTTTTTCAAACACGATCGAACCATTTTTCACATACATATATATGTAATAACTTGGAACAATTACAATAATCACTGATTTGCAGACTAATATAGCTTCTGGACATCCAGTAACTTTCAGTTGAGTTGCAGGATTCTATAACAGAGTAAAGAACTTAATAAATAAAAAAATTTCATAGCAGATGTGAGAAGTTTAACTATTAGGAAAAGAGCACTTCTTTAATTAAAAATAATTACAGAAAGTGTCAAATTACTTAAAAAGAATACGACTTTAATTTTCTTGAAATAATATCCTCTTCGAGAAGAGAAAATGATTATTAGAAAAAAAAAACAACTTTTAATAGTTGATGAAATTTTCGTCTTAATTTTATTTTTGTAGTTCTGGTGTTATTTTGATTATTTTTCCACAGATATCAGAATATTAATACAATGAAATCAAGCATAAAATGTAACTGCAAAACTTATTAAATAAAATCTATACAAATGTCGTAAATAGTGTCATATTTTCTTAAAGCTATCCAGTAATGAAAAACATTTAAATGAAATGTATCCCTGATAGTAAAAAAAAAGAGACATCGTTTCCCAAGACATAACATTGTGTCGAGTGAGTACGGAGCTTTGTCAACAACTCCGTCTTTTAGTTTCGGATAAGCTTGATTTTTTTTTTGCTTACTTTCACAATCTACAGTACTGATTCATTGTTCTATAATGATCTATTATTATTCCAACCAAACTTTTTTGGAACGCTTATATGTGTATCATTAAAATCATGAAATTTACATCATTTTTTGCCATTTTTTTTATTCCATGGGTTGTAATGGATCTTTGGCCGAAACATTGGAAGATGTTAAGTGTTTTTGTATCAAAATTTACAATGTCATAGGCTTCGGCGCAGATAAACACGCATATGAAAATGGAATTTCACAAGGATTTGATCGAAGAAAAACTTTTTTCTACAATTACCTATGCTACCATTAAACACTTTTCAGCAGAAGAACGAATAATGTCCTTTTTTTAACTTTGCAGATGTGAAGAATTAGTTGTCTTGAATCACACTTTGTTATCAGAAGTACACTTATAGTAAAAAATTTCTAACTGCCATTCGATAACTTTTATAGAACACTGGTCGGATCTTGATAATTGTGTGAAAAATAATATGCAAGAAGATATGGATGATTCTGCATTGTTAAAACTTTCGTCCTTATAATTGAATTTACAAAATAAAACTTCAATATCGATATAATAGTGATAATGTATGTATTTTTAAAACAGAAATCGTATATTAAAACACAGGTTACTGTGAAGTTGCAGTCTAATATAAATCTTCGAATCAATTTCTCAAACATTGTGTTATTTACTAATGACCACGTGAATAAACGAAAAATAGATGTACGGATAGTTTGCCTCTTCAAGAACATATTTCTATTTTTATCTGGCATTATTTGAGATTGAGCTCTGTGATAGTGTCTATGCTTGATGTGTTGTATATTCATGGGTTGATTACGAGGACACCCATCGTAATTAGAAGGGAGAGAACCGTTGTGCAAGTGCGTACGGTTGCTGGGAAAAAAATGTAATTGTGAAGATCCAATCAAATGGTTGCCGTACGATGCATATCTTGATCGACCATACTGAGCTGGAGAGTGATTATTAGCCATTTGCATCGTAGAAATTCGAACGATCAGTGAAGTTTGTAAAAATTGTGTGTCTCAAAGACTAGTATCTATGTATATTTGTCGAAGATTTATAAACATGTTTTTAACTAATTCTGTTTTGATATTTATTTACTTCGAACAACCGAAGATTGATACTATAATGTGACGACAAGTGATAGCGAGCGATCTATACGGTAATAAAAAACAATTGCGTCCTAAGATACTCAACTAAAACAATATAACGCGCATTATACATCGCTTCTGATGGTCAGAATGATTGCCTTGGACTGTGAACACCAATTAGTAATCAATAATAAGTATTTCAATTGAAAGTACTATTGAGGGAATGATGAACACAGAATATTCTAGAGAAAATTGTTTGTCGACGATTTAATATGATACATATATAGGATGTTGTAAAAACCTTTAGTGAAAATGAACATGAAGAATTTTTAAAAAGTTCAAGCGGTTTATTTTGTTGTACGTCTTCTTTGATTCTCAATAACAAGAATACGGATAGTATTCAAGTGAAAAGAAAAAAAGAACCAAATATACTTCTCTCTCTAACATTTTATCTGTCATTGAACATGACACATAGTAGCGCCATCTATTCATTTCAACACTTTAAAATTTCTTAATTACGTCTCTAAAATCGAAAATTATAAAAATTATATCATAATTTTTTTTAATTTTCCTACTTATCGACTATATATATCACTAGCCATTGATTACCTTGTTCTTAACGAACAAAGACCGGTAATAGAATTGGTGCAATAAAATTTCTCTCTTGTATGTATGTCTATCGATCTCAAAAACGACATTGACTATATTTTAAGCATGATAAAATCAACAATTGCTGAATTACAACATGAATTCGATAAACGTTTAAAACGATATACCGGAACCAATGAAGTATCCGATCTTTGGTTACCGTATGTAATCTTTCTTTTTTTTTAAATCTAAAATAGATTTTTCGAAATATTTATTTTTCAAAGTTTTTTGGTTGCTATACAAGATGCATTACCAGAAGATGATAATGGTGAAAATACATTAGCTAATAATCAAATTCTATATCCAATATGTATAAAATGTCTTGAAAAATTCGAAAATAATACTGAACAAATTAATAATAGAGATTTTGCAGAAATTTGTCTTTTAATTGTAAGTTTTTCAAGAGAAAATTCTTCGATATATTGTTATATATACATTTTTTTTTTCTATCTAGCCTGAAATGTCTGTAGATAAAGGTTTATGGTTTGGATTATTTTATAAAAAACATATAGGTGTTAAATATGCACATTTATGGATTGATTGGGCCGAATATACTGAAGAAAATGAATTAAATTGGGCTGGTGCATGGGGAATATATGAAGAAGCAAAAAAATTTGTATCCGATCCAGATGAATGTGTTGAAATTGATAAAGCTTATCGGTTTATATTTACATTTTTCTTTTTGTTTTTTGTTATTTCAATAATAAATTCGTTTTTCTTTTAGAGCTTTTGCAATACGTTTTCAAGAATGGGATCAACAAGGTATGTATCATTATTATTATTATTAGAAATAATTGATAGTTGAAAACAATAAAAAAATGTCTCACTAGAATATCAAAAGGAACAGGTAAAAAAGCAACCAAAAAATCGCACAACTGTAATAAAACGAAAAACACAAACACGTAGTTCATTTGAAATAATGATGGCTGTTGAACCAAGAACTAAACGAACACCTGTACGAGCTCCAATTAAAAATCAAACAAGTCTTGATACAGATGATGATCCTGATTGTCAATTATTACCTGAATGTCGTGAAGCTGTTCGTCTTGAATATTCACGGTAAAAAAATTTTTACCTTAAAATAAAATTTCATCTTCTTCTTTTCATTAGAATGCTTGATATGTCAAATACAAGTTTAATTGGTGGTGAACGTATTAGTTGTATACCAAGTAATATTCGACGTGGTTCGACAATATCAGCATTAATGAATATATTTACAATTGATCAAGTACTTCGTCGACAATCATGTGTACCTATAAATGATACATTAGATGAAAATTTTCTTAATGTTTCTTGTATTGTT